TAGTGCTTTCATAATAATGAGAGCAAGCTCTCACAGGCGTGTGTAGCCTCAGTTCTTAGACTCCCCATCTGAACATCTGGCTGTTAGCATTCAGTTATTCTTCGGAAAATAAAACATAGTTTAAAAAAAAAGGAGTGGTCACTTGGTCTGGAAGTTAAGACAAATGCTTTCTACATCAGAGAGCCTGGGTTCAGGTCCCAGCTCCACTCCAAATTCTAGCTTCCTGCTAATGCTCACCCTGGGAGGCAGCAGATAAAGGCTCAAGAGATTGGGTCCCTGTCACCCATGTGGGAGACCCAGATTGAGTTCCCAGCTCCTGGCTTTGGTCTGGTCCAGACCCACTCACTCTAGGCATTTGAAGAGTGAATCAGTAGATGGGAGCATGCATGCCCTCTCTCTCCCTCTCAAATAAATACAATAATTTTTTTAAAGATTTATCTTATTTGTTTGAAAGACAAAGTTAGAGAGAGGAAGAAACAGGGAGAGACAGGTCTTCATTTGCTAGTTCACTCCCCAAATGGCCACAACAGCTAGGGCTGGACCAGGCTGATGCCAGAAGCTTGTTCTAGGTCTCCCATGTGGATGCAGGGGCCCAAGCACTTGGGCCATCTTCCACTGCTTTCCCAGGAGCATTAGCAGGGAGCTAGATCAGAAGTGGAGAAGCCAGGACTCGAAGCCATGCCCACCTGGATGCCAGCATTGCAGGCAGCAGCTTAACCTGTTACACAATAGCACCGGCCCCAAATAAATACAATAATCTGTTAAGAAAAAGAAAAAGAAAAAGAGGGGCTGGCAATGTGGCATAGCAGGTAAAGCCGCCACCTGTGGTGCTAGCATCCCATATGGACACCAGTTCAAGACCCAGCTGCTCCACTTCCAATTCAGCTCCCTGCTGTGGCTTGGGTAAACAGTGCAAGATGGTTCAAGTGCTTGGGCCCTTGCACCCATGTGGGAGACCTGGAGGAAGCTCCTGGCTCCTGACTTTGGATCAGCACAGCTCCAGCTGTTTAGGCCATTTGGTGAGTGAACCAGTGGATGGAAGATCTCTGCCTCTGCCTCTCTGTAACTCTGCCTTTCAAATAAATAAATAAATCTTTTTTAAAAAAGAAAATTCCATTATAGTGATATATAGGGATATTTCAGGCTCATTTTTAGAGCAGTAGCCAACAAAATAAATTTATAACTGCAATTTTATGCCTTTTCTAGCAGTCCTTAACAGATTGGTATTTTTGAAAAGCAGAGAGAGAGAGAGAGAGAGAGAAATAGTTCCATCCACTGGTTCACTCCCCGAATGCCTGAAACAGCTAGGCGTGGCTGGTCTAGGTTGAGGCTAGGAGCCCAGAACTCTCACGTGGGTGGCAGGGACCCAAGTGCTTGAACCATCTGCTGCCCCCTAGGCACATTAGCAGACATGTGAAGTGACCAAGACTCAACTAGTGCTCTGGTATGGGATATGCCACAGTGTCCACTCCAGTCCTCAGCAACTGGTCAACAAGTTCTAGAAAATTCCCTCATCTGCTGCAGAGTCACTCATCAGATCCATCCTCTACAGTTTCCCTCTCTCAAGTTGGTGAGCAGCGCACCCTCCTCAGGTGTGCCGACCTTGCTCCTGGGAGCTACTGTGGGCGGGTTATCTCATTCCTCTGAGCCTCAGTTTCCTCCTGAGGATGTTGTAAGATGGAGGTAATAATAGTGCCTTGTATTTCTCAGAACTGTTGTAAGCATTGTTTGAAATAATAAGTGTGTTTTGTGAGCTGCAAGAGGTGAACTTGCAGGGTGTGTACTTACTGGAGGACCAGGAATCACTGCATGGGGAGAGCAGACAGCCCCACCCCTGGGTCTCACTGAAGTCCAAACAGCCAGGTTTATAAGTGAGTCTCTTTGGATGCAGCTAAGATGATGTAGCATTTATGCAGAGGGTCTTGATGGAAAGAGGGACATGAGATCCTTTAGCTGGGAAACTCGGTTTTTCTAAGTTTCTTTAAAGGTGTCAGTTATGTTAGCTGGGACATTTCAGTTATGTGAGTGATTGAAGAAAGGTGAAAGTTACATGCTGTGCTTTGAAAATGATTTGGCCCCAAACTCATGCAGGAGTTTAGACCTCAACATTGTAAATTAATTACATTAAGAGAGTGCTGACTTCACCCAACTATGGTGTTAGCAGGTGGGGCCTGTGGGAAGCGATTAGGATTAGATGAGGTTGTTAGGGTGGAGCTCCCATGATTGAGTCCTGGTTGCTTTTTAAGGGAAGAGAGAGAGGCCACACAGACACGGACAGACACATGTGCCCCTGCTGTGATGTGATGCAGCCCAGGGCGCCCTGGCCGAAGCCTGTGTCCTGCTGTTTGGATTTGAACCTACAGAACCCTGAGCCCAAACAAACTCCTTTTCTTTATTAGTTAGCATGCATTTGATGTTTTGTTCTAGTATTGAAAAGCCAACTAATACACCGAGGTAGGAATTTTTATTGGAAACAATGAAAGGAGCAGTAAGAAAGGCAAAGGCGATCAGAAGTGGAGGGCAGGAGTTAGGGCTGGATTTCCTCTTCGCATTATCAGACCTGATGTTTCACATTTCAGCCCTGGGAGTAAAGGGGCAGCCATGGTGCTACCGGGGAAAACATCTGAGCCTTGGTTTCCTGAGGCTCTGAGATCCTCCGTCTGGTGTCTTGAGGGAGGAGCCGCTGTTTTCCATGTGTGCAAAACACCAAGAGTCTCAGTGCATCTCTGTGTAAAGCTTCCGGTTTGATCCACGTGTGTGTCTGTGGCATCACCAAGAAGCTGGGGGGGGGGGGTCCTTTGAAATTCTTGTTTCCCGTTTGTCTCTGTGGGCCAGAGATAGACCCTAACCGGGAAAAGCCTTTTGCCCTGCTGACCCTGTCGATTTGAAAAGAGGAACGAATGAAGGCGGTTTTCTCACAAGGGATAAGAACATCCTTCTGGAAGCGCGAGGGCTCTCGGGGAGTAACAGCACTCATGTGAGGAGGCTCGGCGTATGGGCCAGGAACCTCGCAGCAGAAACGTGCCGGGCATGCTCTGACAGTGCCGCCCGGGAGCTCCAGAAAGGACCGTGGCTTAGGGGAAGGGAGGCTCGGGCATGGCTTCTGTTCCCCAGGGATGATGAGCCTCGGGATGTGATAGAAAACATGCTCATTGGCTGAAGGTGGCCAGCCCTGGCCTGCAGGCCCCGTGCCTCCCTACAACACCCTGGGCCCTCGTCAGCTCCGGGCTCACTCTGTTCGGCTCAGGGATGTTACCCTGAGTGGGAACACTCAGCTTCCACGCGAGGACAGCACTGACTCGTGCAGAGGACACTCACCGGGGACCCAGGCAGCCAGGGCTCTGGGGTCAGCCTGGCCCTAACTAGATGTGATCCAGGGAAGGTACTTTGCCTCCCTTCTCCTCTGGGAAATGAGAGGCCAGGCATGGAGGTGTCTGAGACCCCTCTTGGCTCACCCTAAGCTCATTCAGAGGAGAATGATGGGAGAGACCAGCCACAGCTGGTTGCACCTGCACCCAAGGACATGGACGCTGGGGCCGTGGCCAGCCTCGTGTTCCAGATCAGCCCTGCTTGCTTCAGGCACCTTCAGGAAAGGTGGGGGGAGGCCTTGACTTCTCCCAGGTAAGAGTTCTGTTCTCAGACCCGGAGGAGTCGGCAGCAGCAGACAGAATGAGGGAGAAACCAGCCACCTTAGGCAACCATTGTTGGGAAGGCTCCGGACCACTGCATTCTCACAGAGAAGACCCAGCCTCCGCCCTGCTTCTGCCTCGCACCCGATTCGTTACTCTCATGCCTGCTCCTTCCATTGCAATCCCTGTCTCCCCCACATTATCCCCGTCTCTCTGCGGGTTCTCTTGCTTTGTCTCTTGGCAGAGTGGATAGGAAGGCAGCACCGGAAACAGCTGGACATCCCCTGAGCCCCCTGCCCCACGCTAAGCACACCCTGTGACCCCTGTATTCTGTTGAGCCAGCTATAGTCTCCTCATCAAATGAGCGCAGGCCCAGGGCTGCCACCAAGGCCTGTGAGCCAGTCACCATGGCAACCAGCTTTTCCTCCCTGTTCCTGTGCAAGAAAATGGCTGCTGGAGGAGGCGCCCTCTGGGTCTCTAAGTCCCCTTCACATTAGTTTTAAGAAGCTGCTATGCATTGAGCCAAATGTCTGCTCCTGCGGTAGCTTTTGGGAGGCAGAAGGAAGTTATTCAAAAGAATAAAGCAATTTTTCTACCTGAAGCCGTATTTTCGTGAGGTATGGTTATCTGCTCCAAACAGATAAATGCGGAGCAGAGTGAATACAGGAATCGGTGGGATCGGGTGCAGTGGATTTTTGCCTTATCAGTGTAATGGAATGACAGAATGCATTCAAATAAAAATTCGGGGGATGTAGCCAAGGGATACGGGGAATTCTGCAGGGCACAGACTGCAGAGATGGATTGGGGTTGGTTCTGTGTGATGTTGTCTCCCGTGAGAGAATGGGGCTTGTGGTCCCGTCGTGGGAGGCACGGGGAGCCTTGGGAGGCATCTCCTGCGCAGGCTCAGCCTATACTTTCCCGATGACCCCATTCTTCTCTGCAGTGATGAAGCGTGGCGGGTACAGGAATCGCCAGAGACCCCTCTGCCTGGCGCTCACACAGCTGTGGGACCCTCCAGGCTGAAGTTCCCGAAGGAACTGGTTGGGCGGCTGTTTCTCAGAAGTGCTTCTGTTTGGAGCAAGTCCATAGCTTTCTCAAGGGGTCAGCAACATTGAGGATGAGGTCATCCCAGATCCTCCAGGAGACCTTGCGCATGGTCTTGATTGGGAGAGCAGTTGCCCAGGGCAGCAACTGGGCTGCGTCCACCCCTGGCTGCTGCGTGAGGACACTTGGGTGATGATGAGTTCTCCAGATGCAAACAATGTCCTCTTTTCACGCTTTCTTAAAGTGAGCTGGGGGACCTCGTGTGAGGATGAAAGCTCTGGGTTTCATTCTCGGAATTTTGAATTTCAACTGGACTTTGTCTGTCAGTTTCTCTGCAGGTGGATATTGTTCCCAGCCAAGGGGAAATCAGCGTTGGAGAGTCCAAATTCTTCCTGTGCCAAGGCAAGTGTCCCACATCCCACTGCATTTCAGAACTTGCCTCAGAAGCCCCCCGGGACACAGAAGGCAGCAGGCTGTGCTAATCTCACCACATGGAGAGTTGTTGGCAGTGCCATGTGGCAGGGTCCATACTGCTGCTGGTGATGAGCCAGGATGGTTCTTAGGCTCTCTTCCTTCCCCTCTTAGAGCTGCCCCAACGTAGGGGAAGGTGTCGTCTCAGCATCTGCTTGACATTGGAGGAGAGTTGGCGTTTTCTTTGGAAAGCACAACTCCCAGACAGTGAGTCTCCTGGGTTTCCTTCTTGTCCACATCCAGAGCTCTGTAAATGACACTAGGGACCAGCACTGGCTCAGAAATAATTCGTCCATAGGTTGATTTAGGGCTTATTTCTCAGGATCCCTGGGAACTTGAAAATCCAAGGTCTAAGACTTGCCTGAAAGTGAATGGAACACAGCTGTCACGTCAGTGGTTGATGACACCTCTCCCAGGGGTCTCCTGGGTCTCCGAGGCCTATCACGAATAGCTGTCTCGGGTCCCACAGTTCCCAGCAGCGCTCTGAGATAGGCCAGACCTGGTGCCCTTGTTTTCTTGTTTAGAAAATGTGCCCCATTTCCACCGCTCAGGTAATTAACAGGAAACACCCTATGTGTGGAGGCAAGGGTGTCAGGTCAGATCTCAGATTCCCTGCAGTACTTCACATCCCTGAAGGATTCGAAGCACAGGGAAACCAGGACAAGGCTGAGCTAGGGGAGATGGCTGTGGCATTTAGCAAGCAGCTCTTGGCAGGGAAGGACTTTTACATCACCATGGTTTGCATTGGGCGGGGTGACGGGGCCGCCGGCTGCCTTTGCTCTGGCTTTGCCTTCGTCGTAGCAATTTCAATGATCTGGTGATGCTGCCGTGGAGCCCACAGCACATCTTGCAATCAGCGATATTTACTGAACACATCATGGGCGCTGAAAGGAAGATGGCTGCATTTCCATACTAAGCGTCCCTACGGGCCAGGAAGGGCGCTGTGCAGAAGGCACGGCAGAGCGCTCAGCCCTGGTGCAGCTCAGCTGTGAGCCGCAGTGGTCTGCCCATCTGGGGTGCCCGGGAAAAGGAGGCATGGGTGGTGCTGGGTACATCCTTTGCAGCATGTAGGGCAGTGGGCTTGCCTGTCTGAGGCAGGGGGTGCTGAAACCAATGACACAGATGCCAGCGTGCACAGGCAGATGCCACAGTGAACACACGCAGGGTGTGCAACTGCTGGACTAGCCAGCGTCCCTCAGCTTCGGATTAGGGTGCCGTAATCTGATTTTTCACAAACAAACCTATCATTTGGCTCAGGTCAACTAGGCTCTTGAACTTGGAGTCTAGATCTACAAAGTCTCTTTGTCCGAGGTGTATCAGTTCCCAGCGCAGTGCCTGGAGCAGAGGAGGTCCCCAGCAAACACCCCTTCTCTTCCCTCACCACGGACAGGAGCCTCTGACCAAGCACTGGCACATGTGGCTGGTGAGACCTTGCCCAGTGTCCCAAAAGCTGTCAGGTGTAGAATAACGGAGCACCCAAGCCACAGAGGGGCTGCCTAGTGCTCTCATGTCAACAGCCCTCCCTGACCATCCAGCCTTCACTGATCCCATGCCCCTGCTGTCACTCGGGAGGGGACTGAGCCTTTTCTGTTTCAGTGGGTTTGAAAATCTCGTCTTCTTCCTCAGTGGCAGGGGATGCCAAAGACAAGGACATCTCCTGGTTCTCCCCCAATGGAGAGAAGCTCAGCCCGAACCAGCAACGGATCTCGGTGGTGTGGAACGACGACTCCTCTTCCACCCTCACCATCTACAACGCTGACATCGACGATGCCGGCATCTACAAGTGCGTGGTCACCGGCGAGGATGGCAGCGAGTCCGAAGCCACCGTCAACGTGAAGATCTTCCGTAAGCACCGCCCTCACCTCCTGTGTTCTCTGTGTAGGAAACACGCGCTGGGCAGTAGAAAGCCCACTGCCGGGAGCTGCCGGGGGCTGCCGGGGGCTGCCAGGGGCCAGACAGCTGCTTTTTCCTCCTCTTAAGTCTCTTCTTTTTTAAAGAGAATTTCTTTAAAAAAATTTTTTTTAATTTTATTTGAAGGCAGAGAGATGGAGAGACAGACCTCTCCAGCACTGGTTCACTCCCCAAATACCTGCACTGGCTGGAGCTGGGAGCTGGAAACTCACTCCAGGTCTCCCACGTGGGTGGCAGGGACCCAGTTACTTGAGCCATCACCTGCCACCTTCCAGGGTGCACATTAGCAGGAAGCGGGAATCAGGAAGGGAGCCAGAATTCAAACCCAGGCATCTGATGGGGGTGTGGGTTCTTAGGTGCTGCACCAAGACCAACCCGCCCGTGAGTCTTTTCTGACCCAGATCAGAGCTCCAGGACATTCTTCAGTGATCTTTGGCCAACTCGGAACCTACACCGCTCGTTCCCACTGATCACAGCCCTCCCCTCCCCTCACTGGCCTCTGGTCGCTAAATCCAAATCACACAGCTTCCAGAGGGCTGTTGTGAGTCCCTCTGTGCCTTCCCTGGGAGTTGACTGGCAGGCGTATGATTCAGGCTCTCCTTCTCATTTCAATCTCCCCTGCTGGTGATGCAGCCCACGGGCTCGGTGGGGTGGGGACTGTTATCTGAACACGCTGTGCCACTCCGAGCAGCCAGAAACCCCGTCTGGAGGTGGCTTCTCATTACCTTGTTATCATGCATCTGTCCTGTTGGCCGGAGTCATGGTGGGTGACAGCTAATGGAACAGTATTGATTGCCACAGTATTTATTGCCATTAAGCATGCTTTTCTTCTGGGTTGGTTTTTTTTTTTTTTTTTTTTTTTTTTTTTGGTCTAGCATTCTCTCTGCTCTAGGGAAGTTGAGGTGGGGCTGAGGGTAAGGGTCAGAGTGGAAGACAAATCAAAGCCCCGACGACTTCTGCTCTTTATTTTAGAACAGATGTTCTACCTATGCCTTGTGCAAGACATTCTTTTCCCTCTGGAGACATTTTGCACAAACTGCAAAATTCCTTCAAGCACCGTATGAGAAAGTGGAAGAATGGATAAGTCTGTTTTAGAATCCATGCATGGTTGTTTTGTAAGGCACGTTTTCCATGAGGTTTTTGAAGACTCCACCTGTGAGAAATGTAGCTCTCAGGGAGCGGGTGCTGCTTGTCAGACACTGACTGTGTATTCTGCTACTTGGGCAGGGCAGCCATGGCCATGTGCCAAATGCAAGCCCCCTTCTTGCACAGCTGTGGATATGACTTGAGGCTTGCCTGAGGCTCAAGTCCAGGCAAGACAGTTCTAGAAAGAGGGATCTTTGTGGGAGATCTGGCCATTTTCCTCACTCTTCTCCTGCTCCTTTTCCAGAGAAACTCATGTTCAAGAATGCACCGACCCCGCAGGAGTTCAGGGAGGGAGAAGACGCCGTGATCGTGTGCGATGTGGTCAGCTCCCTGCCCCCCACCATCATCTGGAAACACAAAGGCCGAGACGTCATCCTGAAGAAAGATGGTGAGACCTGAGCCCCCTGCAGTTGCCTCTTCTCCCGGGCCCTCCCAATCCCAAGGTTCTGCTCTGCCAGCCCATGAGGGATTCCAGGCCAAACTCCAGTTCAAGTGTCCCAGAACCCACATGCAGTCTCCAGGGCCTGAGTGGCTGGAAGGCCCTAGCAGGTGTATTTAGGCACCTGATTTTCTCTCCAAAACAAAAGTCATGTTTCCAATAGACTTTTACTCAGGTCTGTATTTCAGAGCTGGGGACACTTTTTTTTTTTTAAGATTTACTTTTATTTATTATTTGAAAGGCAGAGTTACAGAGAAAGAGGGAGAGATAGAGAGATCTTCCATCTGCTGGTTCACTTCCCAAATGGCCACAAAGGCCAGAGCTTGGCCCATCTGTAGTCAGGAGCCTCCTCCCAGTCTCTCACGTGGGTGCAGGGGCCCAAGCGCTTGAGCCATCTTCCACTGCTTTCCCAGGCACATTAGCAAGGAACTGGACCGGAAGTGGAGCAGCCTGGACTCAAACCAGTGCCCATATGGGATGCCAGTGCCACAGGCAGTAGCTTTACCCTTACCCACTATGCCCCAACGCTGGTCCCAAGGGGACACATTTTCTTAAGTCACCTTCAAGTGACATTCCCTAAGACTGAAGTTAGGACAAAGGAAAGAGGCCCAGCTAGCTGGCTACAGGGGCCGGAGTTCTCTGACTGGTCCCTGATGAACCTGCCTCTTGTCTCTTCTAGTCCGATTCATAGTCCTGTCCAACAACTACCTGCAGATCCGAGGCATCAAGAAAACAGATGAGGGCACTTACCGCTGTGAGGGCAGAATCCTGGCGCGGGGCGAGATCAACTTCAAGGACATTCAGGTGGTTGTGAATGGTGAGGAGCTCCATTCTTCCTGCTCGCTCCGGCGCTCGGCCTTGGGCCCTCTGGTCTGTAAAGTAATCCTGTCCTGACTTGCTCCACCGTGGTCCGTGTCAGCTGAGTCCCCTCCCCCACAGCCCATCATAACCTCTGGGGTGTTTTCTTGTTCTATGTGTTTGTGTGTTGGAGAGAGAGACAGACAGACAGACAGACAGACTTGCCTTGTGAATCTCTCCTCAGCTAAGGGTGGTTGTGATGTAGTTATTAAATACCCTTCCTGTAACACTAGAAACTTCCCCCATGCTTTCCTACTAAACTCTTATTCATCTTCATTGTCCTTGATGCTGCTGTAATTGGGAAGTTAGTCCCCTTGGTTCAATGTTCAAAGAAAATATTAGAATCAATTCAGGCCTCAGAATAGTCCGAATCATGGCCACGGGCTTATTAATCTTAATTTGCAGTGTCAAATAAACACACCCGCGGAATCGATCTGACATTTACAAGATGTTTACAGGAAATTATAATGTCAGTACTAAGAATATAAGTAAATCACGGCCGAATTGTTTTGGTTATTGATACATAATTTTTGCCAAACTCTCCCCCACTCATTCCTTTGGTAAAAACAGTTTGTGTGCTGGGTTGTTTATGACAGTCCCTGAGAAATGTCACTCTGTGGTGAGCTGGTACATTTCAGATTGCGTGTTAACTGTATCACCACCAGAAGCAGTCGTGCCCTGCTTTTTCCAGGGTCAAGAGTGCATTCATTTTATTTTTATTTATTTGAAAAGACAGAGAGAGACAAACAATGATTTCCTATCTACTGGCTCACCCCTTAAACAGAAACTCAACCCAGGTCTCCCATGCAGGAGGCAGAGACCCAACACCCAAGCCATCCCTGCTGCCTCCCAGGGTCTGCAATAGCAGGAACAGGATGTCCACCCAGGTTCGTGTCCCAAGCAGCACCCAACCACTGCACCAAATGCCCTTCCCAAGAGTCCCTTTTTCATCTAAAAGTTCCAGGGACTCTTGGAGTTGTTTTCTGTGCATTGATTGAGAAAATATATGATAAATACCTATCATAAATCAAATTCCATTTTTAAGTAAGTCAAATGTGTTACAGCATCTGAACTCTTGAAAAACAGTAATACATGCTTGTGGGAGAATTGTTTATTCCATGAACAGTAATTATTTAGCACATGTGCCTCAGACCCCTAACACTGACTCGGCGGCTGCCCGGGACTCTTAACCCACAGGCCAAGGCTGCCTGCCTGGGGCCCCGGAAGCCTCTCTTCCCCAGGCCACTGGGCTCACCCTCGCTTGCACAGCCTCCCCTGACATTCTTCTCTCCTCAGTGCCGCCCACCGTCCAGGCCAGGCAGAGCGTTGTGAATGCCACTGCCAACCTCGGCCAGTCTGTCACCCTGGTGTGTGATGCTGAAGGCTTCCCGGAGCCCACCATGAGTTGGACAAAGTAAGAAACTGGCCTGTGCCTTGTGTTGTGGGTTAGAGGAGAAGGGGGCGTCACGGGGCCTGCTCTGTTTTGGCTTTTCAGTGGATCAGGTGTGGGCTTCTTGGGAACATCAAGTCTCGCTGGAGAATGGATTCTTTTCAGTAAGGTTTTCTTGCTCAGGCATTGCTTTCTGCCTTCCTTTTCAGTCTTGTGGGGGCAGGACCAGAGGGTGCACCCTTGGGAGGGCCCCCTTTGAAAGCTTTTGGGTAGAGTCAGAGGACTGGGTAAGGAGTAAAAGTTAAATGTGGATGTGTGCCTTGGTGCCTTAATGGTTCCTGGAGCCTGAGCACCATGGACTAACTGGGATAACCAGCTGTGTGGTCAAAGCCACAGCCCTTGCATTTCTGCACCCCACAGGGATGGAGAACAGATAGAGAAAGAGGAAGACGATGAGAAGTACGCCTTCAGCGACGACAGCTCTGAGCTCACCATCAGGAAGGTGGGGAAGGACGACGAGGCCGAGTACGTCTGCATTGCCGAGAACAAGGCTGGCGAGCAGGATGCGTCCATCCACCTCAAAGTCTTTGGTAAGGGAAGTGGGCGTCCAGGCCGCCGCTCTGCCGCAGTTCCTCCTCCTCCTCCCCCCCATCCATCACCAAGACCCTGTCTGCTCTGCCTGGCGGCATAGCCCAAATACACCCATTTCTTGCCAGTTGCACCACCTGAGCCCAATCCAAGCCACCGTCATCTTCACCTGGACAAAGTCCTTCACTGGTCCTCTTCAGTCCTACTCACAGTGTCCAGGGTGACCCAAGAGGCACTCCTTGGTTGAAAATCCTCCAGTGGCTTCTTGTTGCAACCAGAATAAAATCCAGACTCCCTGCTGTGGCCTGCAAGACCAAACATGGGCTAGCTCTTGCCTTCCCTTCCAACTTTGTCTTTCTTTTCACTTTGCTGGCCTTCGGACACACTGTGCTTGTCCCCCATCCTGGGGACATTGCACTTGATACTTCTTCTGGGCATGCTGTTTGCTCAGATCTGCTCCAAGCTTGCTTCTTCTCATCTGTCACTTGGATCTCAGCTCAATCTCACCTTCTCAGTGAACCCTCCCTGCTCCGGCTAAGCAGGTCCCCTATCCCTGCCCCCACCCTTACTACCTCCACTAGTTGCTCTCATTACTCCTATTGTATCCTGTCTGCCCTTATCGGTAGCTGAACTAATCTCATTCACATATTTGGGGGAATGTTTGTCTCCCACCTGTATAGTTTAGAATTGGAGGGCGCTGGATGTCTTATACACGGCTTTGTCCCTGGCACTCTAAATACAGTGCCAGACTTACAATCAGCCCTTGATAAATAGTAGTAACTGACTGACTGGCTGCTTCTCCCCCGGCTGGTGTGAGCCAGTGCCTTAGAAAGTCAGGAAGAGAGCCCTCAGATCTCTACTCACTTCATCTTTATAAACTCAGTGAATTTCATTCATTTCGGGACTGCAATGGACTTGACCTAACCTTGGAAAAGGAATTTGCTGCAGAGAATGAGTTCTCCTAGTGACTGTCAATGCTCCCTGCTCATCTGCTTAAGAAGCACAGATAAGCTGACCCACTGTAGTTGGCATTGCCCCTGTACTTGTCTCTCGCAGGTCGCATGTGCACCTGGAAACGGGGAAGGGGACATGCTTGTTTAGGCTGATCAGGAAAACTGCTGACAAGCATACATCTGGTTCAAGTTAACTGTATACCCTTGAGAATGAAAGTTAAACTTCATGAAAAAGACTCTTGACAATCTTTTCCCGAGTTCTGTCTAATCTTTCTCAATACTCCGACTGTAGGTTTTCCCATATTATAGAAAAGGACAGATGCGTTTGTCCATTGATTCCCTCACTTAACAAATATATATTGAGAACCATTGTCACTGGACAGGGAGGCTACAGAGATGGGTGGGATGTGGACCCTTGACCTTGCAAAGCACAAGGAGGGAGGTAAACATACTAGCATACAAGTGATAATAGACAGTGTCTGTGGGGAGCAACTGGGAGCAACTCGGACTAGACTGTTACTGGAATTAAGACTTATTCTATGCATCTGCTCTCCCACAATATGGCGCTGAGAAGGGAGAAACAGCTTCTACACAGCTGCCTCCAGTTCAACCAATAAACTGTAGGACCTACTCCTGATTGGAGGAGAGCAGCGTACTTGGCGTGTGGGTAGCAGAGTTGGGATTGGTGGAAGAGGACTATAAAGGAGCAGAGAGACAGCATGCATCAGGAACATCTAAGGGGAACATCTATCTGAAGGAACACCTGTGCAGCCCCCGAGAGAGCCGGCCAGCGGTGTGCCGCTCCCCTGCGGAAGTGGGGAAAGTGGCCAGGGGGAACCGCCCTTCCACGGAGGTGGAAGGGTCGGCAGCCAACCCGGGGAGAACCAGCAGCAAACCCGGGGAGGGCCGAGCAGACGAAAGAACAACGCAGGGTCCTGTGTCGTTCCTCCACGAAGAGGGGGAGCGACAGTGTCAGTCAGTTGCATTTGAGTGACTGCCACGGACCCAGCCAGGGCTAAATTCACAAACATGAATCACAGGGACTCAGTTCTCATTAGTGCGTTCATAGGCTAATGCGGATGGGCAGGGCTGACACCTTAAATGAGGACCCGGTAGGATGACGTCCTACTAGCAGTGTGCATGGTGTTTTAGAGAAAAAGAGCATCTCTGGTCATCTGTGATGTAAGCTGGGGAAGCCATCACAAAGGATGTCCCGATTCACAGGTGGGAATTAGCTAGCTGTGGGGCCTGGGAGAAGCATTCCCAGCACCTTGGGCATAGGCACAGAGCCAGGAAAAGCACCTGTGAGAGCTGCCTGTGTACAGAGACTTGTATTTGGTGTGCACACAGGTATCCCCCCAGCGGCTAGGACAAGATAGAGCATCAATAGGCACACGCCTTGGCATAAATGAAGGAAGAGTTGCATGTGAGTGGAGCTTCACATGTGATGGGGAGACAGACTTGGAAACGCATTATCACTTGTGCTTGGACAGTGCTTTTAGACATTAACCCTGCAAAATAACACCCAACACAAACTGAGCACTTCCACTGCGCTAAGCACTGAGAGAAGTGCTGTCCATAGATTCGCCCTTTTAATCCTCATCTCAATCCCATGTTACAGATGAGGATACCACTCATGGGGAGATTAAGTGTCTCCCTCCTTCCCCACAGAGCCAGGGTTCAGAGGCAGTTGGCTTCTAAGTCCATTTTCTAAACATTTTCAAAACAGACAATGGATGTCCATGCTCCACAGAACCCAGCAGGACACCTACTGTGTCTGAGTTACGTAGGGAACGGGTAGTTACACCAGAACCTGTGTGCTCCCCATCACTGCCCACAGCTCCTGCTGTCTCTGCAGAAACATAGCAGTTCTAGCTTGGCTGGTCAGGAACAGATCATGGCTTCTTTTCCAGACCTCTCCTGTGGTGCTGGCTGCCCAGCCAGGAGGAGTGGAGGGGCCTGAAGAGCCACGTGTGGCCGTGAAAGAATGAGAGCGTGGAGAAGGTCAAGGGGAAGAGATACTGAGGCAGGCAAAGTAAGACTGGGGAGCCTGCAAGGCTTGTACACCTCTCTACATCACACACACACTCCAGTTTGCTTCTCCACACTGCAGCTGGGATAGTGTGCAGCAGACATGCAAGAGGTGGCCAGGCTCCTGGAGAGGTGGGTAAGAACATCATGGCTTGTAGACACTGTGTCCAAACTAGAACAGGAATCCTAGAATGAGAAGTCTCCTTGATGTAACCTGGGGCCTCTTGCACATTCCCTTACCCCTCCGTTTCACCTCTACCTCCTGGCATCCCCTGTGGGTTGAGGAGACCAGTACAGGGCTAGGGAACCAAATGTGCAGGGCCCAGCAGGCTAGAGCTGTGTTTCTCCCACCTGTCCATCCTTCTCCCTCTACCTGTCTACCATTGTGGACCATCACTGGCTAGGGGAGAAAGCAGGACAGTTGGTTGGTATATATAGCAGGGTGTACTGCTGTGTGGCAGAAGAGGAAAGAATCCTGTAGTAAGATAGTGAGCAAGCGCTCGGAATGCCTGTGGCTTCAGAGAGGCTGCAGTCAGTATGGAAGGGACAGATCTAAATTAGGGACTGCTGTGATTGCACCTAACTGACATCACTTTTTCCTAAGAAAGTGCACTGTGCCAGCATGGCCTGCCCTGGTTATCAGCTCAAAGCTAGGCATTTGCATCCCATCCTTATTTAAATTTGGCAGTGTGTTTCCATTGCTCCTACCCCATGGGCCCTTCTCGGGAAGTATTTTTGTCTCCACAGATCCCTATTGTGTTCAAACTAATGCTCTTGAGGTCTCAGGCTGCTTTGGGCTGAGGCAAATTCCCCAGTGGGAGGAAGCTGTGCTCAGCTTGTCCCTTGTAAACTAAAGCAGCCCTCTGGGGTCACAGCAAAGGACCAGCAGGGGCCTAAAGGGAAGTGCACCTGCTCATGCCCCCAGTATTCTATCCATCCTGTCCACACGAGGAAGCAAGCTCCCCCCCAACCACCCCCGTCTCTCTTTGGGCTGCAGGAGCCTGGATTGGAGTGGGAGGAGACGGGCTGCTTCTCAGGGGTAGGCTGCAGGGCCATGCATTTTCCTGGAAAACTCACAGGACAGCTGTGCTCCCAGGAGAGTCGTGGGGAGAGGTACAATGGAACAGGCAGAGGCACTAAGTCCCACAGAGACAGATGGAGAATAGAACAGGGATTCAGAAGTCACAAACCCGCAACAGAGGTTGATTGAGAGAGAGCAAAGACCGTCAGAAGGTGAACGCTGGCAAGGCCCCCCTGGGTGCCAGCCTGCCAAGGCAGAGCATCCTTTACAAGTAGGGTGGCCCCGCATCTGTCCCTATTGGCCTAGTAGTGGTCATCATCCCAGTGGAATTGTTTAGAGCAGCCTGTCACTCTTGACGAGTGTCCCAATTTTGATGATAAACTTCATGTATTTCTGTCCTGTGTCCACGGTAGTATTCTCACCTTGAACGTGCAGAGTTAGCTTGGACAGAAGTGCTGCTTCTGGAGTAGCTATGATATAGTAATCAGTGAGCAGCTTGCCTTCTTCCCAACAGCCTTCCGCACTCCATGCAAAATTAGCCTTTGTTAATAATGTTTTTAATAAGAATATAGTTTGCCTTTTCCTTAGGAATTGTACAATGCACCATTTGTAGGCATCTGGGAAATGGGACCCCACAAGACCAAATACTGATAGATGGGAACTGACCCTTGCTGTCTTCTGTTGGTCTTTGGCTGCCAGTACAAAGTGCTGTGGGCTGGGTCAGCAAGATGATGTCTAGACTTCATGTCTGACAAGGGTTCCAGCAGCGAAAAAGGCAGCTTCATAGTATGTCCCCAGACCCCCCAAACTTGAAATTTAACATTTTTTTTTCTTTTAGCTTTTCTTTGTGTGATTTTTATGGTGTACAAATTCAAGCTTGGCTGTCCCTTTATTTTACTTTATTCTATTTTTCTTTGTATCGTTTGTGTCTATTTTAGTTTATTCACTTACTCTCTAAACCTCCTACTCAACAGCACTGAACACTTTTTCTGTCCAAGATGTACCTCCTTCAAAATCACTGTGATCAAGATGGACTCAAAGTCTTCTTACAGGAAAACTGAGTCCCTGTGGACTGCATCAGATTTGTAATCAGTTGGCTGCCTTGGATGAAGATGGGCTTATGTGCTGGCCACCAAAAAAAAAAAAAAAAAAAAAAAAAGGATTTGCTAAGCAGGCTATTAGTACAGATTAACTTCAGGAGAATATCTGAACTCTGTAGAAGCAGGCATTTGCTGAAAAAAAAAGTATAGCTCTATCATTGTCTTTTGTTTATTAAACAGCAGGAAAGACCTCAACTCAGGATAAGTATAAGCAATTGTTTATTAGCCTACTTGGGCTGACTGCATGAACTCGAATATAAAGGAAGCATCATGATTTCAAAAATTATCTGTAATTCTGATTTATTGTTGGGTTTGTTTATCTAACCCAGCCTTTTTCTCTGTTTGTGAAATAAATTACGTTTGTGCAGTGTTATCTTTTCTACAAAAGGTTCAGCAATTTCAGGACATAATTGTTTTAAATTGGGAAAATTCAATTTTCTCTAATGTTTTAACATTTAACAGCTTTGGAATGCTTGTGTTTTATTGCATTACCCAAAACATTTGGAAAATGAACTCATCTCAACTCATCTTCCTTCCCATACTCAGCCCACCCCAAGCCCCCCAACCAGTTACTCCCCGTTTCCTCCCCAGAGTTAGTGCCAGCACCGTCCTTCCAGCCATTAAGAATCTGACTGATTTATGCTCCTACCCCTTCCTTCCTTCGACTCTTTCTACTGCTCCTGGTGCTCCGTTCCCTGACCACTTCCTCTGTACCTTCCCTTAAAGGCATAGATGCCCTTGGCTTGGCTTTCTGCCCCTGCTAAATGACCTTGTCTAGGACTCAGTGTCAACTTTGCATCCAGGTCATTACCAGAGCTTCCAATTTGGTTTTCTTGCCTCAGAATTCTTCTCCATGCTCAATTATCTTGAATGTTTCCTAGATTAACTTTCTTGAAATACAAGTGATCCTCTGATTCTCCTGTTCATACACTGTCTGTGGGCCTCCACCAGCTAGTGGACAAAGTCTAACAATCCAGTCTTGTCCCCTCTGCCTCATGCCACACTGATGTCCTCTCCTCATGTTCTTGGTTTTTTGTTGTTGCTCTTGTTTTGTTTTGTTTTGTTTTGTTTTTGCTGTTGGTCAAGCAATTTCCTACACATGGAATAACTCTGTACCCCAACATGCCACCTGTTGAGAAGCTCATGGCCCACCTAAGAAGTCTCCTCCTGAAGCTCCCACGCAGGGGAGTGCCCTTCCTCGGCTTCATGTCTCCTGTGTACATTGTCACCACTACTCTTCCTCTGCAGGATGTGGTTTTTATTTTTATTATGGCTTTGTGTGAACCTCTTGAGGGTTCAGCTCTGTATCTCTTGCAACACCTACATTAGGGTGTAGTACCTAGTACATAGATAACATTTGTTGAATAGGTACATGTCAGCATTCAAACCCAGGAAGCCCAATGATCAGATTAACTCATAGAAATGTTGTATCTTTTCAGCAAAACCCAAAATCACTTACGTAGAGAACCAGACTGCCATGGAGCTGGAAGAGCAGGTCACGCTGACCTGTGAAGCCTCGGGAGACCCTATTCCCTCCATCACCTGGAGAACCTCCACTCGAAACATCAGCAGTGAAGAAAAGGTATTGTGTCACCCAAGAGTTTCAGGGCCATGGAACACAGACTCGGAGCACACCCAAGTCTGCCCCATGCCCAGTTCTCTTTGGTGAGCTGAAAGGTGGGACGTGGTCACTGGAGGCCATAACAGGTCCTGTGACCTCCTTCCCCTGGCCTGCTCAGCATCCCCTTGCAGTGGAATGAGCACAATTCCTCTTATAGGTTAGCAAGGGTGTGATGTTGGTGGGTGTGGTCAAGAGAGATAGTCTAAAGAAAAGGAGATAGCGGTGACCAGACCCAGGTTTTGGGAGCTGTAAGGAACTGGGGTAAACCAAGATCCTGGTGCACCAGGTCATAGTATCTTCATCTCAGGAGCACCCAAGGAAATATAATCTCCCAGAAATAATAGGGATCAAAATGAGCCTATTAATTCTTTTCCTTGCATTGTCTATACTCATGCTATATATGCACTGTATGCAAAAAAGCTTGGTTGCCTTTGTGTCTGCCTGTATTCTTGGTCACACTTGGATTTCATTTTGTTCTAAAGGCAAAAATAATTAGCAGTTTCTCAATGATGACGATTACACCTGGGTTCTGCAGTATTTTCAGTGAGGGCTTCAGAGTGTGATAGCAACCTTCCTGGCAAATTAAAATGCCTGGGAAGATTTAGCTCCAAAGCACATGGATATGTAGACCATTGGAAAGCTGTCTTTGCTATTGACAATAAATAAAGATTGAGTTAACTCCTACGCATTGTGCAGCCTTTTACTGTGGAGTGGGCCAAAAACAGGAGGCGGGAAAGCTTGGTTTTAAAGCAGCTTAAAAGTTCTTGTGGCACTTCTCCAGCCTCACCTCTTGTTTCCTGTAGTACTGGGCTTTGTTTTAGTTGGCCAAGACTTTGTCACCTCTTCAGGAGTAATGGCCTTAGCCTTAAAGAACATTTATAATGGATTGCTTATTGACCAGAATGTTAAAAATGATAGATCGTCACTCTTCTGGCTGGCCAGAGGAAATCCCTAGAGAGGAGAAACTCAGTGCCAAAAAAGGATAGCGTGAAATACCAATGCTAAATTTGGAATTTGCATTTGAGGAACTGATTTCTGTCCCACTAATAGAAAACCAAACTAAATCAAAAGGAACAAAAATCTCTGTTCCAAGTACCCGCCCCGCCGTTTTTGGCAAGTTTTTTTGTCCACAATTGAATCCAACTTAACAAAAACTCAACTGAGGAACTGCTAAATATTTTTGAAACTCACATAGGCTGTCTGATACATGAAAACCAACTATATTAAGAAATGTGTTTACTTGGATACTTTTCTTTATCATGTTGGAATTAAAACCTTAGCTAAGGTGTCAGCTCCCCATCTTGTGTGTTACGTGGACTGAATGTCCATTTCAGGGCTTATCCCACAGGACCACTGTTTGGGGGATCTTTCTATGTCATACCAAACAGCAGATTTGTCCAAGGCGATCCAGTGGATATCTCTGACCTACAGTGAAGGACAGAAATAATATCTTATATCAGATGAACGACACCTTTAAATTCTGTATCTTTTCCAGGAACAGCTCAATAGCTGAGCTAAACCAGAAGGATTATTAAGATTGGTGCCTAACTCAGGTTCTTTAATAGGTTGGCACTTATGGCCTACACCTGTGATTTCATTTTTATGGAATGAGAATAAATAGCCAGGAACTAACACAGATGCATAGTTACTAAATATTGAGACTGACGGTGCCCGGCAGAGGCTGTGTCAAGCCTGCTGGGGACTGACTTTTGTACAATTCGGTTATCAGCACAGTCCTGGAGTGTCTGCAGCTCAGATCATTATCTAAGCTCAGCCTTGTGGGTGCTGTCATGACCAATTGAGGGCTACCCTCAAGTTTACTTGCAGGTGGAGGATGGCCCAAGTGCTTGGGCCCCGCACCCACATGGGAGACCAGGATAAGTACCTGGCTCCTGGCTTCGTCGGATCAGCGCGATGCGCCGATGGCTGCCATTGGAGGGTGAACCAACGGCAAAAGGAAGACCTTTCTCTCTGTCTCTCTCTCTCTCACTGTCCACTCTGCCTGTCAAAAAAAAAAAAAAAAGTTTACTTGCAGTGCCGTTATTAGAGCATGAGCAAGTCAACGTGAAAATAAGCCCTCCAAAGCAGCCGGCGCTGGGACACCAGAGTAACACTTGCCTAGACGAAGTTGCAACCTGAGAAAATTTGCCATCTCTCTTCATTATGTATTGACAGCAAAGAGGCATGGTGTCCATCTTACACTATAGACACCTAATGATTAAGAGAACAAATGCGGGCTGTCTGAGACACCAGCTAAAACATTCTCCTTTCACTTTGGCAACTTGTCTTCCTGTGCTCCGTCGAAAGCTACATTAAATCTATCAGTAGGTAGGGTTCAAGATTACTACTGTCATTGCATTACAAGGGTGGAAGAAAACAATTTGTTTTTTAACAATTAGGATGATTGTCTCTAGTTAGGCAAAAGTAGACAAACATCAAATTGGTAAGGGAAGGAAGCTTCCTGAAATTCAGATCACACAAAACACAAAAGCCATAGAAGGTGGAAAGGCAGCTTCTGGGGTTGTCTAGCCTCATCTTTTCTCACATGCGTGCTGGAAGTCTCTGAGCCCTGTCTGTGGGGTGATGATGTCTGTCCCGTGCAGGGCAGCTGGCCAACACTGGTGATCAGAAACGGCCACTTCCTTGTTCTTCCTCTGTTTGGTCCTCCAGCCTCTGCCATTCTGTCCTTTGTACGATGGTCACTGGAGTCGCTGCTCCACCCACCTCCCTTTGGTCAGCCTACTGTTCCTTTCACACACCCAGCTGTCGTCACTGTGGCTCTTCTCTGTATCCACACTCCGTACATTTTTAGCTGTCCTGTACCAGACAGCTTCAGTTCATTAATGCTCCCCTAAAACTTTATCATGCCCCATGGGACTCGTGCAGACTGCAGTGGGGATATTGCCTCCTTGCTGTGGACACCACTGGGCACTTATAATTGCATTAGCTCTTTCTCAGTATCTTCATTTGGTAGCCTCATATTGAGCTTGTGGTCAGCTAAAATGCTCAGGTCTGTTTTACGTGAACTGCATTTAAGCTACACATCCCCCTGTCTCACTCTTCTGCAATTGATTGCTTAACCAATAAGCTAAAATTTTAATTCATTTGTATTAAAAATTCTATTTTGTTTGTTACAGTGTTTCATGACAGGGTCACTATGGTAATTTGGGAAGAATCTTGCTTCCCTGGGACTGTCATATGCATTGAGAGATATTGCACATCGCTGGTCCCCTCCCCTATAAAGCCTTTAGCCACCTCTGATCACTGCTAAAAATGCCACATATACAAACACCCTCTGGCTTGAGAACAATTGTTTAAGCCCTTCTTTCTGGGCAGTCAGGACTGTCATCAGAACTGTCCCTGGAAGTCTATGAGCCGAGGTATTTCAGCCCATGTGGGGCCTCTTGTTTTACATATGTGTATATTTTTAAAAGATTTATTTATTTGAGAGGCAGAGTTACAGAGAGAGAGGTCTTCCATTCACTGGTTCACTGCCCAATTGGCCACAATGGCCAGAGCTGGGCCAATCCAAAGCCAGGAGCCAGGAGATTCCTCTGGGTCTCCCATGAGGGTTCAGGGGCGCAAGCACTTGGGCCATCTTCTGCTGCTTTCCCAGGCCATCAGCAGGGAGCTGGATCAGAAGGGGGGCAGCGAGGATTGAACTGGTGCTGATATGGGGTGCCAGCACCACAGGTAACCTGTACAGTAGCACAGGCCCCTTTATATATGTATATTATATGTAATGAGGTAGTCACTGGTGACCCCAGTCCCAAGCATACAGTCTGAAGCCAAGCCTTCCCCACGCAGCTGTCACCCACAATGTGTATGAGCTGCTGCTTTCAACCTTGTATGAACACTTATTTGAAATATCTTTACCAAGGTACTGATAAAAGTGTGGACTGCAGCAAGGTCAAGTACAGAACCCTCAAACTGCCATGGCTTCCCTCTGGTCAGTGGCTCAGAAGATCCGACACCTGAGGCCTTAGAGCCACGGTGCTCCCTCATGATTTTGACGACTGTTGTGGAAGGGCCCATGATCCCTGGAGTAAAGTTAGTTCCAACAGAAGCTAATGACAGCAGCTTTGTCTTGTGCTTTGCTGCTTAGCTGAGTCTGATGTTAACCTTCCAGTCGGAAGAGGGACAAGAAGGCTTTCAACCGCAGACACAGTGACCTTCTAGAGGAATACCCATGTTGTTCTTCATCAGTGAAGGGAGAGGCAAACAAACCAGCACAGTGAGCCTGGATGTCACAGCCTATCTTTAATCTTGTCTCTGGCCTGAGTCCAGTCCCTCACTGGAGGATAATCATTACCAAGTTGTTAAGCTTCAGCTAGTTCAGTTGCTTTACTTTAACAACTGGCAGTAGTTAGGCTAGGTCCAGTTGTTGGGTTCATTGAGATCACTAAGGTAAATCAGTTGTTACATCTCTTTCTGGTGGTCACTCTTGTGTTGTGAAAAAAAGAAAATATTTGACAGTCATAATGGTTTAGTTGGATCATGTGTGTGAAGGTCATTGTGATATTTGAGAAAGTTTGTGCAACTGTGTCCTCTCATGTCTCTCCTACCCAGATTCATTTTAAAGACTGCCCGGTATTTGAGTGAGCGACACTAAGTTTCAGGCACCATTTACATGTTAAGACCCAGGGATGATGATTTCCATATTCTCTCCCTGGCTGGAAAAAAAATCCATCATTTTCTCATTTGAATATCTCTGTGCCTTTGAAATGGGAAAGAAAAGCATATGAAACCTTAGTGATTATGGACAAAGAGAGGTGTGAAGAGTTGAGATCAGAAGAGACAGATGGAAAAAAAAAATATTTCACGAACCCTGAATCTTGGGCTGACGGAGTATCCCACAAATAGGAGAGCACTGCTGAAATTCTGGAGCTTTGTTTTCACCAGGAGGGTTCCTCATTCGATACAGACCTAGTGCTCAGGTTTAAACACTGGGAAAGGTGACTGCATGGAACAAGCGGAACCTGGTTTATCCAGGGCGTGGGCAAATGTATAACAGGGAACATGATGATAGGATTATTATAGGGAAGCTTAACTTTAGATTGTATTCCTGCAGTCTTGCGTGTAAGATAGTAAAACATGTAAATATTCAAACAGCCTAGAGCTAACCATTGCTGATCATATCCTTATTTATTTCATAAGTGTGCATATTTGCATATCAGGTTGTCTTAAAGTGACCACACCTTCAACAAATGATTAGGGCTATCACATTTCCTATCATTCCACCAGGCACACAGGTAAAAGGTCAGGTTACTAGAAAACATTGTTACTTGCAACTACTTATTCTAAAAGCCACAGAACTATAGTGATTTGGGCAAGACACGAGAAAAATCTGATTTGAAAAAACAAATAACTCCATATGATATAGCCCTTTAAAAAATGCAGCCTTGTTTTGTGACAGACAAGCTTCTGAGTGATGTGAAACTGACATCCGCATTTGACATGTTGGGCCACTGTTCCACTAGTCTGTGTGTGTTCCTCCTTTTTCATTCCAGTATCATGTGCCATAACCTAGTATTTTCATGCTTATTTCTCCCAAAAGCTCCTTGCATTTAGCGAACTCTTACTTGATGTTTGCTAACTTATTTGTGTTCCCTTGATTGCATTTCTGTGTTTCTATTTCGAGCACCTTTTCTGTCCTTTTCCGTCTGAACATAGGGACAATCAAGCACTCAGGCCACCTGATGAAAACAATGCAGCTAGGTTGTCTTTGACTCTCAGGATGCAAACAGAATAACTGGAAGTGGAATAGATTCCCACGTGCCAGATGCATTTGGTATTCTCAAAACTTTCTGACCCATAATCTCAATGCCTTCATACTTCTCATTCCTAATGTATTCCTTGGTATTTAATAGAATGCATGCAAAGGGTTATAAAATGCATGAGCATAAAACGGCATTAGTATATCTGTGAAAAGCGATCTAATAAAGTCCAACAGCGGAAGCCTGCTCTCTAAGCATCTCTGGATTATGTGGTTAGAACTGGTAGTGTCACCAAATAAAAGGAATATTTAAGATGTTTTGGAGCAGCAGCAGTGTACTATATCTGCTGGTGTCTTTATATATATGTCTCCCAGGGACTAGGGAAGCCTTTACTTTACCTTTGAATTCTACATTTTAATGTGCAGAAGAAGGGGGGGAGCTGAACATAAGCTAAATCCTACATTAAATTGGGTAATAAACACACCATTGAAAGTGGGCCTTGGAAAAAGTTCTGAATTAAGAAGAAGCTGCATGTGCACGGAATGCAGTATGATAGATCAATTCTTTAAAGCAACATGTTGTAAAATTTTACTGCTTTCTTGTTGTGTTTTATATCTTCTTCTCTCCAGGCTTCGTGGACTCGACCAGAGAAGCAAGAGGTATAGCTTACCTGACCACTAGCCAGTCCTTAGTGTTGAAAACATTACAGTTTAACTCACCATTACAGTTGCATAACCAGACATGCCTAACTAACTAGTACTGTAGTTGAATTAAAGCATAGGCCAATAGTGGTAGGCATTAGTGAGCAATAGTGTCATTTTAGGATGAGCAAGCAAGCTGTGTTGGGAATGGATGAACAAATCTATTATTTCCTAAAACGGGATCCTGTTCTCTTGCTGGTGCTAGTAAAAATCTCATCCAGGTAATTATACTGATAGAAATAAATTGCCCCAATTCCCAAGCCAGGCACTGTGAAATGATAGAAATTTTTTGACTCACGTGGTTGATGTGGCTTGGGACTATAAAGTCATAGAGTCGGTGATCTAAAAACCCACTCAGCCCTTTCCTTTCCAGCTCAACTCATCTTGTTGCTCACTTGTTCTATAACGATTGGTCTTGGTAATGATCACGTGTCGTTTCATCTCAAAAGCAACACCACAAAAATCTCTTGGTAGTTTTTCCAAATTGCTAAACACATCGATGTTACTTTTAGAAAGCATTAAATTTGTGACATTAGAATGATTTTCTGCAAATGGTTTTATGTTTTTAAAAATCATTGAAATGTCTCTGACGGCTTCCTGCAGTCCAGGGTATTGTGGGACTTAGTTTGAAAATTGGAAGTAAACATTAATATTCAGATTTTAATTGCTGCACTCCAAGACCCTACCTTGGACTACACCTATCATATTTGACCTGACTTGTGTGATTAAGCAACATGTAGTAAAATAAGAACCAGTATGCTTCAGATGAGATTCAGGGATCTGGTCTTTAAATCCCTTTTTAAAAACATAGCCTTTTATCTCTTCTCTGTACAGAACTGTGATATGTTACACTATAGACACAGAAGATCCTATAGATTTGTATAGATTTATTCAGTAAATCTATTCTCACAGTCCTTCCTTCAGGAACAATGATTATTCAGAACACATAACTCGTGTGTTCGGGTCAGGGCTATAAATATTTAATATGGCTTAATATTTAAAAGTTGACTGCTTGTCCCCAGGCACTGACATTAGTTTCTGCACATGAACAAACTGCCATTGTCAAATCTAGTGCATTATGAACTCGCTTAGCATCGTACCTCCTCGATGTCACAGGGACTGTAGTGAAGTGTACATCCTCTCCGAAATGCTTCTCTCCAATGCACAGGAATCGCTTAGTGCTGTCACGGGCTGGGTGTTTTACTGCCCCACAGTCACGGAGTTGGGGTTGAGGAAGGGAGAGAAGAACGGGCTAATTATTAGCTACTCTTAAGCAGCTACAGATCTCGTTCTCCTTGGCCTTCTACATCTTCCCTCTGTCATTCTGGTTTAGACCTGATTAGAGGAAGAACTGAGATTTATCAGGGAGCATTCAGAAGATGTTAACAGAGTTATTATTATCCTAAGTAGAAGTAATCGGTTTGCTCCCAGAAAAGCAGGCACCTCACTCTGTCTTCCAGAAGTGTCCTTATCATGAGTGTCTCATTTTGGGCGTAATTGACTTTCAAGTGAATGCTGCATGGGGCTCAGAAGTTCCATTCTCTCCGGTTTGTGTGATGCAGAGACAAGGACCCAAGTCCAGATGAGCGTGGAGGAAGACTTGGGCTGGGGCTAATCTCTTGCTGTGTGCTCTGAAAAGCCTGACCTTTGGAAGAAGGGAGACAGAAATGGTTTGATGAAACAGTTAGCATTGCCCTTTTTACTATTAGAACAGCAGTCTTCTGTCTATGGCCATATCACCCTGAACGTGCCCGATCTCCTCTGATCTCGGAAGCTAAGCAGGGTTGGGCCCAGTTGGTACTTGGATGGGAGAAAGGGAGTCCTCTTGTGGTGGTGATCTTCCCACTCCTACCTGGAATTCATCGGCTGCCTCTGTGAGAGCCTGCATAGTGAGCATGGCTTTTGCTCTGGAGGGCTTTGACCCTGACTTTGTCCTGATGCCAGAGTGAAGCATGGCGGGGGGGATAGTCCAATCACACTGGAATCCATCTGCAAATCCTCAAAGGGGAAACTGGGCAGCTGCAAATAACCCCATCATCAAGCCTGTAGTGAGCCACTGGGAAGTGAGAATTCTCTCTAGAGGGATGGCCTGCCCATCTCTGATGTCATTAAATGAAAGAAATTCCCACATAGAGAAATTTCAGAAATAAGACAAGAGTGGGGTGGGGGAAGTGGGACTGTCCGTGCAACCCTTTTATGAGCGTCTCTTGCACCATTCTCTAGATTATTCTGGATAGAGACTGCTCAGCCCTTGCTTTGTTGTCGTAGGTGTCCTCGTACCTACATGACTTTCTTGACTCTTTTGTTACAGCATCACTTCCTGAGGAAACACTCCCTTGACTTTCTGAGGATCAGGGTCAGAATGTTGTGTCGTGCCTAGCATCCCTGGGATAGTCCTATCTGGGTCCCAAAGAATCAGTTGGGATGACCACAAAGGCCAGATGTGGACTTCAAGTCCTCTCTGCCCTCACTCCCACTGTGTTTGCAGCAAATAGAAGTAGCAAGCAGCTCATGCCAGGTCTTTCAAGACACTGGCAGGGTGGCTTCCCACCCTTTATGTCACTTGCATAGACCAATGGGTAAAGATTGGGTATGGCACAAGGAAATGGCCACTAGGGTGGGCCAGCACAGCACTGTCAGCCCACAAGGAATGGGGTCCCGGAAGCCAGTGTTTCCCACAACCTGAATGTCTCAGACTTGCTGGTGAAGTGCTCCACACCTGACTGTTGTTATCGCTCATCAGTGTGTGGCATCTCCTGGGATGCTGCTTCTCTACCGCCTGTTCCCCAGACTCACAGGTCAAATGGGAGCATCAGGACATGCATCTCAGTGAGAACAGACGCTCACAGCAGTGGACAGGGATGATTTTGCTTGGTTTTGCTGTCTTCTCACTTCTTTCCCAGCTCCCAGATGTGCCCTATGGTAGGGCTGAGATGGACGAGCTGTGTTAGCGCTAGGACAGGTGTTTCCTGTGCTAGATCTGCTGATGGTTCTGCAGAAGGCCAGTGGTGCCTGGCTTTTGGGCTTCCCAGGCTGGCTACTCTATGGCATGGCAGTTCTGGGCATCAGACTTCCAAACCAGCATATCAAAGGAACCTGAAGCCAGGTGTCCCGTCTTTCTCTAAAGACCTAACTCATAGTATGGCAGGGGCCACATGCAAAGTACCCTTCCAAGAGATAAAAGAATGGCCCAGTCTTCAAGATTCAGACCCCTTCTTGAGACTGCCAGCATTCTCATGGTTCTAGACTTGGACCCCATGCCTGGAGTCTTCCTGGGCCAGCAGCCATTTAACTCAGACTACCAAAGAAGGAAACCCCTTAGAAACACCCCAGTACCTATTGCCAGAAGGTCAAGTACTTACTGTCTTTCTGATGCACCTGTAATTCCAGAGACTCGGGAAGCCAAAAGCAGTCTCAAGGACTAAGAATTGGTGGTGGCCAGGTGTCAAAGATCCTGGATCAGCCAGGAGCTTTCTGTGCCACTGTTCCTAGAGAGGGAATCCATTTACCTCCACTTCCAGCTCAACAGCTTTGAGTTACTTGGCTTCTTTATGGAGTTATTTTACTCTTAAGCACCAAGGGACGAAGGCACCTGCAGAAATGTGGGTGTCCTGTGTAATTCCTTCTATTGGGCACATTTGGATTTCCCATTCCATGTGCGTACACCATGGAGCTGGCAGATGGGCAGACTGGAAGGAAAGGAAGGGAGTGCACGTTCCCGGAATCTCATTTGTTGCTGGCCAGGACTTCTGCTTCCATTTCAGAAATCCCAACCAGTCGTCTCTCGGGACTTACCTTGTCCTTGCCCCAAACTAATTTTGACACATAGTGCAGGCCATCTGACTTAACTGCATCCTATCTTCTGTTTTGGTTCCACTCAGATTCTCATAGTGCTCCCCAAAGCCTCTGCCATTAGATGATACGTAAGAGTTAGACGGTGGCCAGGACAGGAGAGAGGATGGGAGACTGGGCACAGAGCAGCGATGGCCGAGTCTCCTAGTCCCCTCCCCTGCCGCAGCCTGTGACGCTCTCCCTTCCCTCCTGGCAGACTCTGGATGGGCACATGGTGGTGCGCAGCCACGCCCGCGTGTCGTCCCTGACCCTGAAGAGCATCCAGTACACAGACGCTGGAGAATACATCTGCACTGCCAGCAACACCATCGGCCAGGACTCGCAGTCCATGTACCTTGAAGTGCAATGTGAGGAATAACTGGGGGAAGATGTGGGGTGGGCTTGGGAGGGAGGAGCAGTGCAGGACCAGGATGCAAAGGGGAAATGGCGGCCAGGACCAGGCTGCACCCCACGGGCTGTGTTCACATTCCCAGTGGCAGTTGGCCCCAGAGCAGTGTCCCCAAGCCACACCCTACACCATCCCCAGACTTCCTTCCATAAGCCTTCCGCCGTGCCCTTGAGTCTTCCCATGTAACTCTCCAGGCACTAGCTCTGATCCAGGGAACACCTGCCTTCCCAGCACCAACAGACAGGATGTAGGGGACTTCATGATAATGCCAGTCATCCCGAGAGTCTCTGTCATTCATTGCAGATGCCCCCAAGCTACAGGGCCCAGTGGCTGTGTACACTTGGGAGGGGAACCAGGTGAACATCACCTGCGAGGTGTTTGCTTACCCCAGTGCTACGATCTCATGGTTCCGAGATGGTCAGTTGCTACCAAGCTCCAACTACAGCAATATCAAGATCTACAACACACCCTCTGCCAGCTATCTGGAGGTGAGTTGGGTGGAGGCGGGGTGGAAAAGGCATAGTTGGGTGATGGAGGAATTGTCTACTGCAGCTCCCTCTCACATTCTCTCTTGCTTCCCTGGCACACCCTGAGCAGGGAAGCCATTGGCTAGAGGAGAAACTGAACATTGTCCCAGGTCACCTGTCGCCACCACGCTCATCCTCTCCCTGCAGCCAGAGCAGGGACATTGGGGTGCAGTTTGCCCCTCCCAGGAACCCTTTTGCTGTTCTTATCTCTTGTGTAAGGCTTGGCTGCAGCTACTGATTGGTGCTTTCCTAGTTCCGCTCCTCACTAATTTAAACCAGTGATTAAAGATCTGAGTCTCTGGCCATCTCAGGGGACACTTGTAACCCAAGAGCTGCTTCCTCTCAAAGGTGACCCCGGACTCAGAAAATGATTTCGGAAACTACAACTGTACTGCCGTGAACCGTATTGGACAGGAGTCGTTGGAGTTCATCCTTGTTCAGGCAGGTGAGTGCCCCTCATGGCGACGTCCACGCCATTTTGCCATTTCCAGTCCATCGCGTGTGTTTCAGTAGTTCCAGGATAGTGGGAAGAAAAGAAGGCCAGGCCCAACAAAAGCTGTAGGGTCAGGAAGCTGGCGCGGGGTGGGGGTGGGGGGTCACTGGAGGTGTGAGGATCTGAGCATGGGCTGTGTTGTAGGAGAATCACTTGGGGAAGGGAGGAGAGGAGATGGTGGCAAGGTACCCAAGAGGGAACAGGAATGGGAGAGCTGTGCTACATGGCTGGGGATAGTATCCCAAGCCTAGCTGGGCTCACCTGCATCTCCATATGTGTCCTCCACAGACACCCCGTCTTCGCCATCCATCGACCAGGTGGAGCCCTACTCCAGTACTGCGCAGGTGCAGTTTGATGAGCCTGAGGCCACAGGCGGCGTACCCATCCTCAAATACAAGGCTGAGTGGAAGGCGATGGGCGAGGAAGCCTGGCATTTCAAGTGGTATGATGCCAAAGAAGGTGAGTCAGCAAGAGTCAGGTTCCCTTGGGGTTGATGAGTCCTTCAGTACCCAGTGCTAGGGTGCACTCCAGAGCCTGGCTGCCTGTTTGGGTAGGGTGGCCTCCACTCACCCACTGGAGCAAGCCGGAGGCTACCACCTGCCATCCTGTTTGTGTCCCTACAGCAGTAGGTCATGGTCACATCTGTGTATAGAGTTACTGGCCTTCTGCTCCCTGGTGCCTCAGAACCTGGTTCTCATGACCCTGCCAGGATGGATGAGGCCAGCTCGGCCATGTTCCAGGCAGAAGGCCTACTTCAGTGCTGACGAGAGGAGTACGGCCGCTCATGCTGTGCACATGTAGGTCCCCCGTGCTGCAGCTTGCCTGCTGACACAGCCAGTGCTGCTTAGAAATCTGTACTCGGGGACTGTAGCAGGAGTAGGATGGTAATCCAGTGAGTTAGAGCAGGAAGACTAGTCTGCTCTGGGGTCGACCCTGTGATGCCTTTCCAAGCTAATTTTTTAAAATGGCCTTGGATTGCTGTAATTCGAATATGCTGAGCCCAGACTAGCTGAGGATGGAGTGTGTTTATGTGCAGCATCTCTTTGGGGGGGGTGGGGGGGGTTGTTGGACTAACTCGGTGATGGGTGCTTTGGTTTTGTAGACATTTTCATCCTGGTCTGGTGCGTGGTACAGGGTGGAACTGGAAGTGGGTGGGATTTCAGTGTCATGGCCATCGAGAGACAAGGTCCAACTGGCTTCACTGAGAATTAGCTCTGTGAACAAGCTCCCACTCCTCTTTATGGGGAGAGTGGGCGTGGGCCTGAGAGGGACCTCCGTGTAGTCAGAAGGGGAGCTGGAAGAAAGTGGTGGTTTTGTCTTCTGACTTGCCCTGAAACCCCATACCTGGCAGGTTGATCCCGTGCTAGAATCCGTCTACTGGGCTTTTCCCCTCTTTTTTATACATCCATTCTAGTTATGTTTTCATCACAGTAAAATGGACTTTACCATTTTAACCATTCTGAAGTGCGTGTTTCAGTAGCATTACAATCACAACCATTAGCACCACCCATCTCCGGAAGAACCTTCCTGGCCTCGCACACAGAAACTGTGTAGCCGTGCAGTGCTAACTCACTCCCACCCTTCCCTGGCAGCCACCATTCTCCTGTTACCCTGTAGTTGTCTACTGGAGGTACCTTGTCCAAGTGGAACCACAGTGTGTGTCCTTTTGTGTCAGGCTTATGTCACGTAGCATCTTGGCCTCAGAGTTCATCTGTGTTATATGATCCGTGTCAGAATTCTCATACTCCGTCGTATGTATGTGCCACATTTCCTACATCCACTCCCTCTTCTGCCTGTGGTCCTTTGGGTTGTGTCTGCCTTTTGCTGGGGGTGAATGATGGCTGCTGCGACCCTGGGGACCCAGGCATCTCTTTGTGTCCTGTGTTTTCATTCTTTTCTGCGTATGCTCACAAGTAGAATTGTGGGAGCCAGAGCTGATCCCCTGTGTGAGACACTGCGGCCCTGCCCTGCTGTGGTCACCAGCATCTGCGCCTTCTTCCCAGAGCCTCACACCCTTTTGTGACACTTCCCATATTCTCACCACAGCCAGCATGGAGGGCATCGTCACCATCGTGGGCCTGAAGCCGGAGACCACGTATGCTGTACGACTGGCAGCCCTCAACGGCAAGGGGCTGGGTGAGATCAGCGCGGCCTCCGAGTTCAAGACACAGCCAGTCCGTAAGTAGAGCCAGCTGCCCTGCCCCTGCCCCACACCCACCCTCTGCCCCTTGGGAGCAGAGAGGACCCTGAGCGGACCCACCTCACTGTTTGGATGCCAGCTTTTGCCCTCTGCTCTTGATAGCCCCACCTCTAGAACTCCAGCTAACACACAGCCTGCATCCTGTCTTTCTCAGGGGCATGGGGACACTGTGCTAGTCCTGCTTCAGCTTGTTAGAGTACCCGCCTGCTGGGGAGGGGGGAGGAGGCCTACAGCACACAGGGAATCAAACCAGTGATGTGCATGGAGGGATCTGGAGGATTTGCTTTTTCCCAGGAGCCACAGTGGCCCTGAGCACCCTGTGGCTTGAAAGGAGAGGGTCAAGGCAGGGACAGTGCTGCAAGTCGTGGAGAAACGGAGACTGCTGTTAGGATACATGAGCAGGAGCAAAGTCCCAGGGTGCAGGAAGGGAAAGGAGGGTGGTGGCCTTGGACTTCTCTGCTCCTCCAACACACGCGCGCGCGCACACACACACACACACACACGAGAAGTGTTTGTCACTCTCTCTTGAGAGTTGCTTCTCCCTGATTCTGCTCGGGCTGGCGTCTCTGCTTTCCCTCAATCATCCCTCTTCCCTTAAACTCTGCCGGCCCTGGTCTGTCCTCCCTTCCCACAGCAGCCAGGCTCAGCTCTGGCCACGTCTCTCTGTGGCCCAGAGTGGCTGCGCTGGGCAGCGCCGGAGTCCCTCCAGCTGCAGAAACTCTAGAACTTGGCTCCTGAGGGGCACCGAGCGCCCCGAGCTCGCTCTGACCCTGGGGTTCACATGCACTCGGTTTCATTCTCTTTGGAGTCAGGAGCCTGCAGAGGGGGCTCCCTTACCTTAGCCCAGAAGTGGAAAAGCCCGTGTCATCTTCATTCTACAGGAATTGCTACCTTCGGGATTTGAAGTAATTTGATAATTTGAGTTTCCAGCTCCGTGTGCTCCTCAGATTCTAGTCATTTCTTTTACATCTTATTTTTTTTTCTTGGGTCTGTCTCTTGTCTTTTCTTTCCGTCTGTGTTCCATCCATGGGAAATGCAGATAGCCCTCCTCCACGTAAGTGCCTCTTCATACCCCATTACCTGTTTCCATAGCGTTAACGTCTGGTAGTCCTAGTTCTTAATTTAGTTCCAGTCCCTTTTTGTCCCCTAGAGGCTGGAGTAGATGGTACCGCCTGGGCCTTAACCACACTGACCTTAGTCTAGTTGTGCCCTTGTTAACATCTGTAGGTTACTCCAAGAGGCTAACCCTCTTCCTCTCTTAGAGCATGCAACTTCTGTGTCTTTTGAAATTGTGTTCACTGATCTTGTGTGTGATGATCGCCCTGTGACGACAACACTAATGTTTGCTGAGCCAAGCATGATGAAGTCTGCACGTGGCCTCTGAGGCCCACACTCGAGCACCACCTCACCTTTAGCCAGGACACGAGAAGGTGACCGCGATCAACATCCCTTCAAGGGAAAAAAAGAAAATAGCCTGAAAGGATTTTTTTTAAAGATTTATTTGTTTACTTGAAAGTCAGAGTTACAGAGAGGCAGAGAGAGAGAGAGAGAGAGAGAGAGAGAGGTCTTCCATCCGCTGGTTCACTCCTTAGATGGCTGCAACAGTGGGAGTTGCACTGATCTGCAGCCAGGAGCCAGGAGCTTCTTCCAGGTCTCCCAAGCAGGTGCAGGGGCCCAAGCACTTGGGCCATCTTCTGCTGCTTTCCCAGGCCATAGCTGACAGCTGGATTGGAAGTGGAGCAGCTGGAACTTGAACCGGCGCCCATATGGGATGCCGGCACTGCAGGCGACGGCTTTACCCTCTACACCACAGCGCCAGCCCCCCGAAAGAATTTTCACATGTGCTCTAAGAAAACAAAAGAATGGAGTTAAGTTTCTTCCTTGCCCTCCTGTCTTGCAGTTGGGAGCTGGAAGGAAACAACAGGACTGACTTGGGAGGTCCCTGCAGCCCACGCTTATAAAAACCTGGCACGAATTTTGGTTCCAAGTCATGGCATATCCCGCAGGCAGCTATGGGAGTTAAATCCCTAGTTCCAGGCAGCTGTGTTCATTAGCACTGGGTTATCTGCAGTGTGCATCTCCATGTTTGTAAAAGACTGATCAGCCGACCTAGTAACTCTCCTGTCTAGCATGGAGAAGGGGGAGAACCCCATGGAAAGGCCACCCTGATGGTGTAAGCTGTAAACACAGGTAACAGAGCTACAGGGAGCGACACTGCAGTCTGACCCTCTTGGCTTCTGTAGACACCCCCAAGCTTCACCCCGACCGGGGCCTGGCTCTTCTCTCCTAGGCAGAGCTCAGACGAGAGTGGAGGGAAGCATTACTCACATGGGCTCAGGGTAGAAGGTATTCAGGAAACTGCCTGCTCTTGTCACAAAAAGCTCCCAGCTCCTGAAAAGCACTCAGGGAAGCTTATCTTGTCAAAATGCATTCAGAAATATTGCAGCAACAGCAAAAACCAAGTAGCTAAGTGTAGGCGTTTGGAGATCTTGAGCAAGACCCAGATCCACTATCTCAGCAGAGTTGGTGTCTGAAAGCACCAGCTCCGAACGATGGCAGAGTCGGGAGTGACAGCTGTCAGTCTGGGCTGCTTCGGGAGGAACAGCTCCGGGCAGGACAGCATCTGCTGCTGGATCCTTCCGCTGACCCTTGACGGGTCCTGCCGCTGAGTCTCCAAGTCTCCTCCCTTTGGATTTGATCAGTGAGTGAGTGGTGGCTTAGTTACATTGAAAAGAAGACTGGGATGAGGCCTCCTCTTGGGTTTCTAACCTCTCCTGACACACAGTAACTGGATCGGGACTTCAAAGGCCACAGTGGTGTTTATTTATTGTCAGCTCAGGCCTTGGGAAGGTGAGAGTATTTTTTATAGCAAAGATCATGTTTTTAAAGTCAATGTTTAATTAAAATTTTAATTTTTACTTACATTTCAATTTAAAAAAGAAAAACAGGACCCCTAGACCTTACTGTTTATTGTCTGCTAGCATGAAAGCAGATGAGTGACCAAGATTCCAAGAAGCCCTTTGGAAGACAATGGCATCGACTCCCCATTCCAAGTGAACCAGGGACCATACAGCAGCAGGCATTCCTGGTGGCACAGAAAGTCAGTTTTCCTCAATCATGTAGTGAAGCCATGGAGCAAGGAATTAAAAAGCAAACCTCTCAGATGAGAGGGACCGGGGCATCGTCTTGGAGTTCAGCGTGCCTTTCTTAAGAACATAAAAGAGAGGAGGCGCTGAACATGTGGGAACATCATCATCTCACTAAGGAGGCCTCACCGGGGCAGTTCCTGTGACCTCCTGACCTTCCCAGAGCTGCTGAAGGGAGGGCCTAGCCCCAGGGGTATCCTGCTGCCCCGAGAGATGGCGCCAGTTGTTACAAACCTTACTTTTTCCTAAGAGATGCCAGGACAGGTTTTAAGAAGGACCTTCTCTGAGTTTTTGCTCCCGCTCCTTGCATAGCACAAAGGTTGTCTGAACCAAGGTCATCAGACTTAGCCACCGGTTTGCCTGTGCGCTTGCATCAAACCAGGAACCAATGGCATTGGTTCCTGATGCTGAGTCGCCGCTCCCTGACCTCTACTGCTGCAGGGGAGCACATGCATGGTCGGATCCTGTGACGCTGGAAGGGAAGCCACAGGCAGCAGGGCCTGGCGTGCTGGGCAGTGAGACTTGCTCTCAGTCCCCTGGGCATGGAGGTGTTGGGTGAGGCCGATTTTTGGCATTAACTCATCACTTGGGAGTTTGTGGAGATATCTCAACAGTGAGATTGCTTTCTTGGTTCTTTAAAAAAAAAAGAAAGAAAAGAAAGAGCATTTCTCCCCATCCAAAGGCATGGACATAGCAAAGCAGGAATGAGCAGGTAACACTAGCAGAAGACTCCCATGTCCTTGCCAGCAGATCAGAAAGCAGGGCTTACCTGCTTGGAGGTTCCTTTGCGTGCAGGGGATAAACATACATGAAGGTGATGAGAATCTGAGACTCGAAACCAATAAAGCCCTCAGCTGGGGAAGGGTTCCTGTTTCGTGTTCTTTTAGGCCACATGTCTGCTGCTGTCAGGATGGGATGCTCAGGTGGAGAAGCCTGTGGCCTCTGTGGGCCTGGGAGGGGCTCCGTGCCTTCTTTGGAGTCTTTTCCTCCATGACAGAGCCACACACCTGTGGAAGGTCCTTGCCTGGCTGGGCTCCCTCCTAATGGGCTCTGTCCCACAAAGCAGAACAGACCGTCGCTTCTGGAATGTAGAGGTTCTGAATGAGTCTCTGCATTTTAGAAGTAGTGTCCTGAGATTTTAGTTCTCACATGTTGTCCTTTAGAAAACAGATGGCACATTCAAGTATAAGTTGAATGCATTGTATGTAACACAGAAAAGGACTTCAGAAACTTCAAGAACAATTGGATTAAAAGATGTTTATTTTGGTGCAAAAAGTTTTAGAAGTCATACAGACTTTTCTCATAATATCTATTTGCCATGAATTTTTTAATAACTCTCATATGCTTGGATTTCAAAATCTTTTGCATCAAGATAAACTTATCTTTTAATTTTATTTTCCAGAAGTTTTTTGGAAGCACCAAAAATGTGGTTAAAACACATAAAAATTTCATCCCTTTGCCAGAATGATATGGACAATTGTGCTCCCCGTAAAAGCCAAAAAGTAAATGAAGGAAAGGGATTGAGAAGGCAATACGCTTCTACCTGAATTAACCAGACTGTCCAGGCATCACCAGTCAGTGACCTAGCTGGCTGTAATTCCAGTGGTATTGTACTCTCATGGTTTAAGGAAGATAAATCATGCACATTAAGGCAGTGTTGCACATTGGCTGATGTTTTCTCCAGTGTTCATCTAGCTGTCAAAGGGGTCTTTGTTTTGTGATTGTTGATGGGTTGACTCCTGAATATTTGCCAATGACAAACCAAAGATCCATTCAGTGCCCCAGTCTCCAGATGCACCATTTCTAACCATCCTCCATGCGAAGTCGGTGAGTGTCAGCTCCTGTCTCTTCAGCATTCCCTTTCTCAGGGCGACTGAGAAAAACCTGCACATTACCTACAGCGCTCTTCTATAGCAGCACCCAAGTTATGTTATAGACATTCAAGAAGTGGTTTTCTTATGTGTGAATTTGTGGTAGTTTGAAACAGAGAGAGAGAGACAGATCTTCCATTGTTCACTCCTCAAATGCCCGCAACAGCCAAGGTTAAGCTAGGTCAAAGCCAGGAGACCAGACCTAATGTAGCTCTTCCATGTGAATGACAAGGACCCAAGCACTTGAACCATCATCTGCTGCCTCTTGGGGCATGCACTAGCAGGAAGCTGGAATTGGAAATAGAATGGGGGCCCCAAACCAGACACCCAGATATGGGATATAGGCATCCCTAGAAGCATTAGCTGCTGTGCCAAACACATGCCCCCAAATAATCGCATTCTATAGGAGTTCTTTTGGAGGCAGTGGTGTTGTATGATCGTCTGTATACAAGGGATCATGAACTTCACCCATAACAAGCCTTAAGCAGCACAGTCACTTCTATTCTATTAGTTGTTGCAGTTACATAGCTTTGTTATAAATATGCACTATCTATGTAAATATATACCCATATTTAAACATAGATGAGCGATACAAAGTGGCATCAAAAAGTTGATGGAAAATGGCATGAAAAAATAAGTTTTGAGGTGAGCATATGACCTGGTGGTTTAGTTGCAGGTTAAGATACTCACATCCCACATTGGAAGGCCTACATTTGCTATCTGGCTGCAGTTCCAGCATCCTGCTAATGCAGACCCTGGGAGGCAGTGATGATGGCTCAAATAATTGGGTTCTGCCACCCACATGGAGACCTGAATTGGGTTCTGGCTCCCAGATTTGGCCACCTGGTCATTGCAAGCATTTGGAGAATGAATCAGCAGAGCTGTGTGTGTATGCATGTGTGCGTGTGTGTAAGAAAAAATAAATATTTTTGCTGCAAAAAATTTGAAATACATGCATGGTATTTTCATAGTAGATAGATGTTCTCTGGACTTCTTAATAAACCTTGTGTGTGGCATGAAAAGTCCAAGTGTTATCTCCTTTTGCTTACCTTATATCGAGGTCCAAGTGCCTTTGCCCTGGGCCCTCTGACCCTATGGAGACAGCAGGTCCTGCATTATTGGCTGTTTGTTTCCAGTCGTGGTTCAAGGCCTCTGCAGCTGTTCCCAGCCAACCCCTGACCTGAGCAGCAGGGTTTGGCAGGTGCCCAGGCTCATGGGTTGAAGGCAGAGGGCACCCTGGTCTCCATGGATCTGCGGCCACCTGTTCTATGCATGGTGTTTCTCTTCCCTACAGTAACTCACTTCAGCCCGTCCTACTGACACTCCGGGATGTCGTGGCTGTTTTTCCATCCTGTGTCCCACTCCCTCCATGAGCTTTCTTCCCCCACCCCATTTATTTTTCACCTTCATTTTTCTTTCTTCAGCAGCTCCTGCTAGCTCCTCTACCCCTGTTCCATTGTCTTCACCAGAGAGTGAGTATCATTTTCTTCATCCATCTCCCTGCAGGTTGCTTTCCAACAGCCCGAGTGCTCTGTCGCACGCTATCTCCTGAGCAGGGTGATAACTCACCTCCCACAGCGGGAAGCTCTGTCGGGTTTTAGGGAAGCAAATGAGAAGAGAAATAGGCATAGGACCTCTCAGCTTCAAGGAAGCAGGGGAAGGGCCTTGCTCTGGACAGGGCTGCTCCGGCCAGCCCTGTCTCCAGGATTCCCAGTGGCCTGCACCAAAGAAATTTACCAAGAAAAATATCTACCCTGCAGGATCCTCTAAAACACTTTGAGGTGTTGTGCTTTTACCCTCATTTTAATTGGAACAGTTGGATTCAGGCGTTGAAATTAGATAGTCCTATAGCTTTTGCTTTATCCATAAATGCATAATTTCTCATAAATATTTGGAAGAAGATAAACAATGCCTGCCCACAGTGTTTGGCAGTAGGTGCTTAGACAAATAATTTAACCCTTCGTGAGTGAGCCCTGATGTTCTTGATACACAGTGGCCTTCCACACACAGCCTTAGTGCACATGGCCCCAATCCCACTTTGCCACCCTGGATCAGTGCCACTGAGCTGGTGCCAGCATCCGCTGCTCGGTCCTGGGCTTGGTCACCTGGTGAGCCTCGCTCATTTCTGGTCGTAGTTCGTTTTGCTGCTCTGTCCTTTTGTTCCCTTGAATCCGCAGGAGGAGAGAGAGCTGCAGGCCTGCCACTTTGCAGAAGTTTGAACCTGGTTCTCTGGGTTTGAACAGCAACGTGAGGCCACAGCTGCCTGAAGATCAGGCTGTGTCGCCCGCATCTGCTCAGAGGAGCAGACAGCACCCAGCCTGCAGGCAGGGTGGCACCGCCCAGCTGGCTTTATTCTCTCTGCTGTAGCATGAACAGCTCTGTCTGGGCTCCAGCTTGGGAGAGGACTCAAGCCCCACACGCAAAAGCCCTCTCTTGCCATCTGTTTGGCCCAGAAACATGCCCACCTCCCCACACGGCGCTGTTCGAGGCCGTGCACTGCAGCCGAAGGAGCTCAGGCACTGGGTCATCAGGCCTGGGTGCCAGTCTCAGCTCTGCTCCTCTGCACAACCTCAGATAAGTCACAAAGCCTCCTGAATCTCAGATTACTCACCTCTCAACTGGAGGACAGATTCCACTTGCCTCCCAAGGGCTTACAGAAATTAGAGCACCAACGTGAAAGACACAAAACAGCTGCAATTAATAGTAGGAATTGTGGGAGGCTGTGTTATTTTTTGCTGTGTGAGAGTACTGTGTCAGCAAAATCTCTGATAATGTCTTTAAAATACTCATAGGGATAGAGGAATATCAAGGGGAAAAGGAGTAAGGGACTATCTCCTTTAGCATTCTGTCTTGTCTTCATGATGATGTCTGTATATCATATATAGACATACATATATTATGAATTTAATGTACCTCCGCTCTCTTTCACCTTTCTGTGCCCTTTTTGTCTATTGCGTTTCCATAGCAACCTGGCCTCCTCCTGCCCTTCCAGCCACAGAACCAGCTAGTGAGTACAGAGAGCCCAGCTGCTCTCCGCAGACCGCTCGTGCTGTGTGTCGCAGAGCCCCCTTCTGGGTCACAGCTCTGCCCGTTGTCTTCCCTTTCGTTAAAAGCAACAGTTGTGACTGCATGGAGGCCCCGAGGCTGGCATGGTTTCCTAGGCATGCCGTCTGCTTGGCCACGAGAGCCCGCAGTGTGTCCCCGAGAGAACTGGGGTGATGATTCGTATAGTTCTCTGTGCATGAGGAGGCCTCTCCAAATTGGCCGTCAGGTGAAGAACAGAAAAGGACTAGGAAAGCGCTGAGGAGACAAAAGAGCAGCATCTCCTTCCAGCTCCTGCCGTCCCTCCCTCTGAAACGTGCACACGCCCAATGCACGCACCACGCTCACGTGTGCGGGGAGAGACGTAGCAAAAAGACTGAGAGCGAGGAGCAGGAGTGGAGAACACAGCTGCGTGGGGACGGCAGAGAGTGGTGCAGAGAGGAGGGAATCGCTGCTTCCTCGCTGCACGCCCTCCTTTGTCTTGCCGAACCCGAGCCCTTACGGGAAGGAGCGATCCCCCTCCCTCCCGCCGCCCTTCAGGCTTCTGTCTCAATGCTAGACTACTTGGATGGAGGAAGCCTAAGCCAGCTCCCTGTGGGCTGAAAGTCCAGATGCAAAGGCTGGAGTTAGCCTCTGGACAGCAGCAGTCAGGGCCGGCCCGTATCCTCTCTTTTCTGTGGTGGAGAGCTAAGCACGGACAGCACTGTGACACGTTGCAGGCTGCAGGCTGGTCTTTACAAGGCTCCCGTGAAGGTGTGTGCTGAGGACATAAACCCCCTGACAGGGCATCAGGAGTGTGTGGGCATGCCTGTAATGTCCAAGCGCCGAAGCTTTGTGAGGCTCTGAGCTTTGATCGTATTTCTGGGTGCATAGAAAAAAAAATGGCACACGTGCAGTGGAGCAGAAGTCGGCCTGAGAAGGCAGAAAGCAGGTACACAAAATCCAGCTCCGGCTCCCCAGGCCAAGGCTGCCGATGCATAATTGAACAGAGAAGAAAAGAGTTTCCCGATTCTGCATGGTGCACAAAATGGCTCCTTTTTTTTTTTTTAAACTGCAGAACAGAGCGAAGGGTCTGCTTCCTTGGTGTTCCTGCCATGTGTGTGCTGCGATGAATTTTAATTCCTGATGCTTTTGAGGTTTCATTTTGTCAGCAGAGCAGAGTCGGTGACAATGAGCTGCGCTCACACGGGTTTAATTCAGATGATGGAGTTATTTTGCATTTGGAAAAGGAACACAGTTAACAGAACCCTTCCTTCCACAGTGTGGCTCCTCTGATTTTTCCACTGAGTGCAGGATGGCGAAATCTACAGGAGGCATTTGCACCCAAGGTGCATTTTAAGATGCCTCGCGTTAGGTTGGTCTCTGTCAGTGAACACGGCCTCGCTTGCAGATTCTTCCTGAAGGGGGAATGAGGTGTTCCTCGCCCGATGTGTTTGAATTTTTAAACATCGCAGATCAAATGCATTGTTGTGGCATCTCAAGGGGGAAAGTCTGAGTCTTTTTTATTTTGAACCACTTGACTGCTGACCCAAATTGTGACTCCTAATGAATACTGAGAAAAAGAAAAGGCAGTCACAATTGGGCTGCAGCCCGTAGCTAGTGTGAACATACTCCTCAACCAGGAAGATAAAATGTAGCACGTGTGGATTGCAGTGCAACTAATAGCATAGTAGCTATGAGCATGCAAAACTCCTTCAATTGTCAATCTGGGGTTGAAAGTCATCTGCTAGTTTTGCGTGCGTGTGTGCTTGTGTGTGTGTGTCGATCCATGTATCACAACTAAAAATGTCCTAAAATAAAATTGCAGTTGTATATATGCAGGACACCCCGATAGGAATGTTCCAGAACTTGTGTAAATGTCAGACACATCTCCCAGTGGCAAGGGATCTTGGTTCACTTGGTTAAAACTCTTGCCTCTAAATATGTTTCACCAGCAGTGTGCTTCAGGCAGGAAGGGGTTTTCACCTCTCTGCCATTCTTCCCCCTTAGCCTCATCTGGCAAAGACCAAAACGTCTGCTGGCCTAGCAAAGTTGAGGTGGAAAAGCGAAAATGCCCTTTAAAAGTCAAAGTCATCTGGCTACAGGTGTGAATCTACATAACGGTGTAGGGCTAAAAGGAACGTAGGTGACTCCGAATAAGAAATTCATTTTCTTTGTAAATCTCATTTCTTGTCAATGCAGGATAAAGATAATTCACTTTGCCCCCCAAGTGGCCTCGCCCTGTCTAATGTCAAACTGCCCCGGGCTGCTTCTGCGGTTTCCTGTGGACCAAGCCTCTGTGGGAACTATCAGAGGGAAACTTAGCCCCCCAGTCTGCACTGGCCTCTTCCTTTACGCTTAGACTTCAGGGAGTCTCATCGTGGGTCCTGGGATCACCGTGGGTGTGTGGCTGGGCAAGCTGGAGAGGACCCTCAAGGCCACCACCCCTGCATGCACCCTGCCCCCGTCAGCTCAGGCTGTCTCTCCCTGTTACGCTGGAAGAAACATGACATGAATTCTCTTAATTTAATGGAATCTTTTGTTCTTCCAGGGTGCGCAATCCACGCTTCGCTAAGCTCAGACTGTTCCTCGATGAACCGCGTTGTGTTTCATTGCCTTTGTTTCCCAAGGATGCTGAGACATTTCTGGAATCTGTGAATAATAACTTGCTTTTTTTTTGTTTTGTTTTATCTTTTCCTTTAACAGTCTTCCTGGATTGGCTTTGACACCTGGGTCCCAACAGAAATATCTCCCCATTTCCAAACGAGTGCCCGTGCTCCTTGGTTGTGGATTAATAATGCAATGTTGCAGCTGTAGCTAATGCTTTTTGGTGTTGTTAACCAAAGGCCCTTTATGATTTATTATTCTTCTATTTCCGGGCAGTTTTACTGTGCTCCCGGTGTTTTCTATATATGCTGCTAATTTAATTTGATTTCTCCTTTTATTTAGTCTGTGATTTTGTTGTTGATTTCTCTCCCTGCCCATTGTTTACATCAGTTTTTAATTTTTTTGTATTTTCCATGTGACCTCCTCCACTTTCCTTTCAACCAATCATGTGCGTGCGTATCATGTGACTTTGTCATGTGGCTTGCATGGTGCTGACGATGTCGTCCACGCTGATGAACAGAAGGTAAAACTCTTTGTTCTGATTAGTGAAATAAATCTGGGCCCACAACCTGACACCCAGGGCTCGTTCATTTCTTCCTGTCACGGATTTCCCAAGCAAAGCCATTTTAGAGATTTCCTCTTGTTCCCAGTTCACAATCCAGAGTTCATCATTCCCTACAGCCTGCATATGACAATTGTTGATATCATGGCAGCCTTTGGTTTAATGTTTGGCTTCTAGAAATTTGGTCAGGCTGATGGCTCCCCACAACAAAATCACCTGATGTTTTTACCTGACAGTTCATAAAGCTTACTTCCCGAAAAGGTATATTGTAAATGACCTTGAGAGCATCATTACTTAACTTACTCCTATGGTTCTGAAAACCTCAGTCGCGCTAACATGAGTCAGGCGCCCAGGACAGTGTTTACAACCTTGAAATGCTACAGAGAGAAATGTGTCAATTGCAGAGGTCTTTTTTTGTTCAAAGCCAATGAGAGTGCTTCAAAACAGTCATGCAAATTAAGGACTTTCTGAGATAAGAATTTGGATTACCACTGTGGTTGTGATTACTGAGGTGCCACTTCTCCAGAGTGGCCCTCCCCCAGGCAGGGGGTGAAAAGAGCCAAAGTCACTTGGCAATTACTTGATGGAGGTCTCCGTGTAATCAAGAAGCACAGGATTGACCCTCAGCAAAGAAAATAAAATTGTAGCCTAATTAAGTGGCTAGCGGTGACAAAATAATTAGTTAATATTGTGACTGTCACAACCTTGTTAAGACATTTCTCACTTAAGGAAGTGGCTGCTCAAGGCTTCCCCCACTGAAATCAGATCCCTGTTTAGACCCTGCCCCCAGGGAGTCTATGCATTCCCTTCTTCCTGGCTGAATTTGTCGCTTCACCTCACGCCTGGGACACACAGGGGCTGCAGTGACCACAGAGGAAAACTAACACCAGTAACTGCCCAGGGTGCCCGTGCATGCAGGGCTGCCCCGTAGGGCCTCACTTCCCCAAGAACTGATTGGGCGACATCCCCTGGAACAAAGCCGGCCATAGCTTGTCTCGCATGTTCTGTGTCCCTGCTCTGTCCTTTTGTTTTGTGCCTGCCCTGTGTGTGTTCCCTCTCATTCACCCTCCACATTCCCCATCTCCAAGGACTTCTGCTTTGCCCCCAGTTGAGTCCCATTTACAGCCAGACTCCCAGACTTGCCTATGTCTGCCCTTATTTCCAAAAAGAGACGTTGCGTGAAGCAAAGTGGGAATGTGACCTCTCTTAAAATAAATGAGCTCTTGCAGGCTGTAGGATGGAGAATACCGGGAGCCTGAGATCCCCTGACTTCAAGACCCATCCACAATTTTGTGGCTTCATAAGGCTGAGCAGGTTAGGTGCAGCCTCTTTTTTCAGACTTGTGGGGACTGCTCAGTGGCTGGTGCCCTGGCACAAGGTCTGGGCCTGCCCTATGAAATATTAAATGTGAGCAGATGCTAGATGTTGCCTATGCAACGCATTCAGCTATTTTTAAAAACAAGTCTGGTCATTTCTATGCAATGCTGTACTTCAGAATGAAGCAAGGACCACATTAACAAGGTGGAAGCTAATTCACTCTAAGAGCTGTCTCTTCCCAACATTTTAGGCTATTTGTCTGAAGATGTTTCCTGCACCTGCCCCGGAAATACAGCTCAGCCGAGGTCTGGGCCGGCAGTACAAACACGTGGCCAGTACTTTAAAAACTCCCCAGGAATTCCAAAACTGCGACCTCCCCCTCATCAAACCATGTCCCCAGCCATGCCAGTACCTCCCTCTCTGACTACAGGCTCAGCCTTGCTACTCAGGTGAGCCACAAACCGCAGCAATGGTCTTGGATAATAAAATCGAAGGGAATG